CTGTCAATAAATTGACATATTTTGATTGTTGATTTGAACCAATCAGATTGGAATTATGCGATAATTTGCACTAGTGCAAATTATCAGATAATTGCATAGTAACTGGTGCGAAAACTGGCGTTTTGACATTTTTTGACAAAGAATTTAAATTTTTGATTTATGAAATTCTCTCATTAAATACAACTCGTGCAATGGAAATATATTTATAATTTTCGACAAATTTGCACTCATGCGTTTTTAACTGAAAAAGGCACTCGTGCACTACGTGCACTCGTGCTCTTTTTCAACTAAAAATGCATTCGGGCAAATTTCCCAAAAATTATCAATAATTTCCATTGCACTAGTTATATTACTATTGAGAATTTCATACATCTGTCAAAACTGGTATTCCAACAATGAAGTGACATGTTTTGATTGTTGATTTAAACCAATCAGATTAAAATTACGGAATTCCAGGATATTTGAGTGGTGAAATCTTGGGGTTTAAAAAAAAATATATGGAATTTTTATGGAATTTTGAAATTGAAATTTTAGTAGAATTCCGAGGAATTTCATGAAATCCTATACTGTAATTCCGAAAAAAATTTGTCTAAGAATTCCATAAAATCTTCTAGTGAAATGTTAAGGAATTTCTATGGAATTACTTAAAATTTTCGCGGAATTCCTATGGAATAACTTGAAATTTTAGTGGAATTCCGAAGAATTTCATGAAATTTCATAGTGTTCAAGAATTCCATTGAATTTTATTGTGGTATTCCATAGAGTCTTATGATGAAATTCGGAAAAGTATTATGAAATCTTATAGTAAAATTTTTAGGAATTTACGTTTTTCCATTCAAATTTATCACTTGAATGGAATTTTGAGGAATTCTATAAAATCTTCTGGTGAAATTCTAAGGAATTTCTATGGAATTGACTAAAATTTTCATGGAATAACTTGAAATTTTAGTGCATTTCCGAAGAATTTCCTGAAATCTTATATTGTAATTCTAAAGAAAAAAAAATCCAAGAATCTCACTGAATTTTATGGTGTGAAATGTGACGTGAAATTTTTGCGGAGTTTCCATAGAGAAAAGAGGGAAAAAAATTTCAAAAAATTACATAATTTCCGAAGAATTTTCGTCGCATTATATGGAGCTCCGATGAAATTGCATGGAATTCTAAGGAATTGTCAGGGAATTACATGAAATTTAAGTGGAATTTTGAACAACTCTTATCGTTTCATAAGGAATTCCAGTGAAATTCCGAAATATCCTAATGTAATTACATGAAGTTTTATTTTTTTTATTCCAAGGAATTCCCAGTTAAAAACATGGCATTTAGTGAAATTGAAATTCCGAAAAATTCTCATCGAATTACTGAATTTTAGTAAAATTAGAGAAAATTTTACAAGTGGAATTCCGAGGAATTTCCGGCTAAAAACTTGGAATTTCGGTGAAATTTGGAAAAATTCCCATGTAATGAAATTTCAATATATTTTGCAGGAATTTCGGTGAATTTTCAAAAAATTACTTGTATTTTCATTAATAGTCCCAGAAATTCGTGACTATTGAAAGAGAATTTCAGTGAAATTCCGAAAAAATCTTATGGAAATAAATCAAATTTTGAAAAAAAAATTGAAGTTTCATTTCGAGAAATTTTCGACTAAAAAGGTAGAATTTCAGTAAAATTTCAAAAAATTCTCATAAAATTTTGGTGAAATTCTGAGGAATTTCTAAGAAATTACAGGAAATGTCAGTGAAATTCCGAAAAATTTTATGAAAATTTTGTAGAATTATAGGATATTTCAGTGGTGAAGTTTTGGGGAATTTCAATAAAGTTTTAAAAAATTATGGAATTTGGAATTTCTATAGAATTTTGGAGAATTTCAGTGGGATTTCGGAAAAAAAAAATTATGAAATATTCGCAGAATTTCTATCAAATTATATATAATTTCACTTTGTATCGACTTACATAAAATTTCGATAAAATGTCGAGTAAAATTCCAAGGAATTCTCGTGAAATTACATGAAATTCCCTGAAATCTTATTGTGGAATTCCAGTGAAATTACATGGATCCGAAGAATTCCCTTGGAATTAAACAGAATTTCCGTGAAATTTCCATGGAACCACGAGAAATTTCGACGGAATTCCGAAGAATTTAATTAAATTTTAGTGAAATTCTGAGTAATTTCTGTCGAATTACATAAAATTTTGGTGAAATTCCAAGAAATTTCATGAAATCTTTTGCTGTAATTCCGAGAAATTTTTGTACATGAATTCCATTGAATTTTATGGTGGAATTCCATGGAATCTTATGGTGAAATTCGGAAAAGTATTATGAAATCTTATCGTTCAAAACTCAAAAGTGGCAAGGATAGTAATAATTTTTGGAGCTGTGAGCATACCGCTGACGTCATACTGAAGAGTATTATATTAAAAAGGTTTTTAGTTGATATCTTAAAAACTGTTCGGTATTAAACATTGGCGCAATGATAACTTTTGTTAAGGACGACTCCCTATACACAATATCAAAAATTCAGCAAAATTCCACATAGATCACTTTTCCATAAAAAATGTGCGGGGTTCTTTGTCATTTACTGACTTTGAACTTTCGAGGAATTTCATAAAATCTTTTAGTGGAATTCAAAGGAATTTCTGGAATTAGCAAAAATTCCCATGGAATGACTTGAAATTTTAGTAGAATGCCGAAGAATTTCATAAAATTTCATAAGTAGTGTAATTCCGAGGAATTTTTGTCTAAGAATTCCATTGAATTTTATGGTGGAATTCCATAAAATCATATGATGAAATTCGGAGAAGTATTATGAAATCCTATAGTAAAAGGTCTAGGAATTTCCGTTTTTCCATTTAAATTTGTCATTTGAATTAAGAATCTCTAAATAATTTTCAAAAACCCCCAAAATGCTCTAGAATCACCTAAAATTTTGAAAATCTAAAATCTTCTGAACTCCTGTAAAATCGTGTGAAGATTTTCAAAATTCCCAAAATCCTACAAAATCAATTAAGATTTAAAATATGTGTTCATTATTTTATAGAATTAACTAAACCTCGGAACGGTTGCTTGGTCAAAATCTGTGTAAAAGTCCAGAAAAACTTGTAAGATATATTTAAAATCCCTGAAAATCTTTGAAAATTTAATAAAACTTCACAAAATCCCTTAAAAATCACTTGAAATCGCATAAAATTTCACAAAATCACACAGACTTTTATTAGAACAAAAATCGCAACACAAAATCTTATAAAATCATTGATATGTATTCCTAAAAAAAAATTTTTTCAAAATTTCCAAAAATCCTTTGAGATCCTCAAAAATCCATTAAAATTTCTAAAAATCCTTTAGGATCCCTAATGACTGTTTCCACCAACTATTTTAGGGGAGCTTCAACAATAAGTATTCCTTAAAATGACAGTTTTCTATGGGGAAATGTCAGTTTAAAAAATACTTTTTCTACTTGCGTGCGCAAAGTAATCACTTTTCACACTCACTTGCGTGCGCAAAGTTGAACTTTGCGCACGGAAACTCTTTGCGCACTCATTTTTGTTACGTATAATTACCATAGTTATACTTGATTTTTCAATGTTTTGATGGTTTCTGAATAAACTAATATTCAAAATGAAGGGTTTTAGTTGAAATTAATGCCTAGTTAACATGATATTTCCTATCAAAGGTGTCCAAATTGGACCAGCCTGTACTGCTAGGAATTTGTAAAGTTTTTGATATTTAAGAGACTCTCATGAAAATATTCTTGCTGATTCTAGAAATTCCAGAAGATGTAAAAAGATATTTGATTTAAAAGACATTCTGAGGAATTCCGATATAAGATTTTAAAGGAATTTTTGAAGATTTTGATTTGATTGATTTTTCTAATATTTTAACAATTAATTCAAAGTCTACTTTTTTAAGATACTCGAAGAAAAAATATTGTTCCTAACACTTGCGCAAAATGTCTTTCCCGCACTCAAAGCTTATCCGAACTCCGCTTCGCGTCGTTCGTCTAACTGCTTTTTCGTGCGGGAAAGTATCACTTTGCGCACTTGTTAGGAAAATAACTATATCATTAAGGCTCCCCTAAATTAGTTGGTAAAAACGCCATTAAAACCCTTTCTCAATTCCCTAAAATGATCCAAAATCACCTAAAACCTCTTAAATCTAAAATCTTCTAAAATCCTGTAAATCACGTGAAGTTTTTCAAAATCCTCAAAATCCTACAAAATCAATGAAGATTTAATTATGTACACATTTTATAGAGTTAATTAAAGTTCAAGCGGTTAATTGATAAAAATTTGTATACCTACAAGTTGGACAAAATCCCAGAAAAACTCGTAAAATCTACCTAAAATCCCTGAAAATCTTTAAAATCTTTAAACATCTAACAAAATTTTATTGGAACAAAAAAAAGCAGGCAAAATCCTATAAAATTCCTAACAAAAATCCTTTGGGATCCCCAAAAATCCGTTAAAATCTCCAAAAATCCTTTAGGATCTCTAAAAACCCTTCTAACTTCCCTAAAACGAATGCTCCAAAATCAATCTTTTAAAATCCTGTAAAATCATATGAAGATTTCCAAAATCCTCAAAATCCTACAAAATCAATGAAGATTTTAAATCTGTGTAACAATTTTGAGGAGTTAACCACCCTTCGGATGGAACATATCATCAAGATTGAACTGGATAAGTTTTAAGCAGCCAGAAATAATGTTTTCAGAAATTACAATAGCTTAGAACATTGCATTGAAATAAATAATCAGGTCAGAGTAAATTCCCAAAGGAAAAAATATGATTATATAAAGCACAATATTGTGTTGCATCAAACAACTGGAAAATTAAAATGATTCACCGGAAAAGTATTAAAAAAAATTATACATTTTCGTGATGCATGGCATGCCCCGCCTTTAGTCCTACATTTGTTGCAATAAACAATGTATTTATTATTAATTAATTTTCTAGAAATGTTTATTTATATCTATTGTTATTATATCAAATTAATTTATTTTTAGCCCAACGAAGAACCTCCTCAAACTCGAATGGTGAACACCCCGTCCAGGCAAAGTCGAACGCGTTCGCCCGGCGGTCCCATTCGCAGTACCAGAGAACGAAAACCGTCGCCCTATTCCAGCGGACCTTACCTGAGCCCACCCTCGGATACCGGGTGGAGGCGCACCAACAGCGACTCTGCTTTGCACCAGAGCGCCATGCAGGTAGATAGTCGTGTAGATCCTAGAAATTGTTATGTAAGTAATTATTGGTGTAGAGTAATTGTTGGAGAGTTATTGGAGTAAGCAATATTGAGTTGGTGCTCTTGAGTACATAAATAAAAGAGGAACTTTTTAATTCATGTAATGTGTTTTAATGGACACAAGTTGACATGCACTCAGTTTATCTACATCAAATTCTTTCGTATGAGACACGAATAATAATTGAATTTCTGGAAACGGATCTACATATTTCAATTTGTTAATTATGTTTTAATTTCATTTAGTCTATTCAACTTAGTCAATACACAAGCTTTACTTATCTAAATCTTGATAGTTTAAAGATTCAAATGAACCATATAATTCTCATATTATTTTGGTAACATTAGCAAAGCAGTGACAAAACTTACACAATCATACCAGGAAACGAGACAGAAACATAAAACGAGGAAAGATATTCGTTTTGAAACAAATTAGCTGCAGCTTCTGGCAATAAAACCTATTATTTTCTGAACAGAAAAATTTTGCTGTAAATGCATGACAGTATTGAAAATTGCCAATAACTCTCTAATATTTTTTGAGGATAGTGAATTGCATTATGTAATTAGTTGAGGAATGCTTTCTAAGCCCTTCTTAAGCAGCCAAAACTGAAGAAATATTAATAATAATAGTGTTGATTTATAGCACATGGCTTTTTCATTCCATCTCAAATTGTCGAATAATAACTCCTAGATATTTGTACTGAGAGCTTCAATATTGCGTTGCCTAATTTTAAGTTTATTTTACGAGTGTCCTTTTTGCTTTACAATCATACACTCTGTCTTTTCTGTATTTATATTTATTATCTAAAAGCATTGGAGCAAGGTGGCACAAACATGTGTTAAGAATCTCTACGTATTCCCAAGAAATACGTAGAGGTATTTTATTAGAAGCAAAGGCTCCCATAGGCGTACCCATAAAAAACTCATTTTTTGAAATATATATTTAATTTCAGAAAAAGGTAGTTATAAAAATGATAAATTCGAGCACGTAAACTGAAAGTAAACTGGACTGTTCCCAAAAAAAAATACATGAGATGGGACCAAAACAATGGGTCTGTTTCTGCAGAAATCACAAACCAGTCAGAGCGAATTTCATTGGTTGAAAACAGTCAGGAACAGTCAGAAAACTAGTTTCAACCAATGAAATTCACTCTGACTGGTTTGTGATTTCTGCAGAAACAAACCTAATATTTCTTTCGATTTTTTTTAAAATTTTTTTTGGGGATTTCGGGATTTGTATCAAAAAAGGGTAGCTTTGTAATAATTTAACAACAGTACCATAAAAAACAATGTTTATTCAGAAAATTAATAATAATATTAAAACAGTTGAGGTAGCTACTGACAACAAAAATATACTTAAAGCAAATTGATCGATAATGCAAATACTGAAAATATAATGCACTGAACTTTCAAGTGAATATTGGGTGGTATGAATAAAAACGAAGTATCTGCTACTACTACAAGTATTATTAGATTCTCCGTAGTATTTACTTTAAAACGAAGTAGATACTACATTTCGAAACTACCGGAAATTAGTAAATCCTTCTTTTTGAAGTGAATACTAAGTAGATTATACCTACTTAGTAGTAGGTACCTACTTCGTTTTTATTCACACCACTCATTGAATACTTACGAAAAGTACTAGGAGTACATATATTTTTTAAGTTGACTATAGCATCAGAATGATATTATTGTTACCATCAAGGACGCCATGTATGATTTAAACTTAGTACCTAGTACCTAACCACTGTTTAGTAGTCAAAGTAGAGGCAGACCAAACCACTACTTGGCCAACCAATAATTTGGTTCATTTGTTGATAAATTAATCCAAATGAAAATTAATTTCTTGCTCCCGACAAGTTCCAAATTGAGCCTAACTTCATCCCTTTTTGAAAGTTGACAAACTTTTAGGTTTATTCAATTGAATGGTGGACATAACACCATTAATGAATATTATTCCAGTACGTTTAATTCATAATTGAGGGGTCCAAACAAATCACGAATTAGATTCTTCAAAAATCAAAATTAATGCTTTTCTTTTACATACTTAAACCTATGAACGAGTACCTCGACAAGTACCCCTCAACCTGGACAGTACTCTAGAAGCGCTGGTGCTTGCAACAACAGGAACAGTATATTATCTGTTTTTTGGACTCTCTGAACAATTCTAAATAACTTTTGTCTAACATACCCTATGTCAAAAATTGATAGTTTTCAAAATAGAGTGGCCCAAAAATATGTCGTAATTCCTATTTATTTGTATTTTACGTAAAAACTGAATAGGCCAGAATAAAAAAAATCATGGTTATTTGCTCCTTAGTCGAAGGGGTATCCGTTAAATGCTAAAAGAGAAGAATTAATGCAAGTTAAGAAAAACGCGTTTTTCGAAAATGAATATTTCAGTTTTTGATCGGACCCTGTACGAAAATAGTTCAACTTATGGAAATGAAACTTCCACTACCCAATCCTACTTTTTTATCCTTTATCCAAATATGACAAATTTAACTTTCATAGACACTTGCAAAATTGAAAATTTGATAATCCATTTTCAAGTTGTTGGTTCTTTCGTTTTTTCAATACTAATTACATACCTACACCATTGTAATAAAATTCATTTGTTTTCACCCTATCATACTTCATGTATTTTTCAAAAATTCAAATTAGACAAAAAAGGGTTAACTATTTGGACAGTACAATATTTTGAATCCATACCCAACTTTGCACGTGGTATACGTAATTAAATGAGTAAAAGCTCAGGTAAAAGTAATATTGGTTTTGGCACTAACAACTTGAAAGTAAGTTATCAAATTTTTAATCTTGCAGGTGTCTATGAAGGTTAAATTTGTCATATTTGGATAAAGGATAAAAAAGTAGGATTGGGTAGTGGAAGTTTCATTTCCATAAGTTGAACCATTTTCGTACAGGATCCAATCAAAAACTTAAACATTCATTTTCGAAAAACGCGTTTTTCTTAACTTGCATTAATTCTTCTCTTTTATCATTTAACGGATACCCCTTCGACTAAGGAGCAAATAACCATGATTTTTTTTGTTCTGGCATATTCAGTTTTTACATAAAATACAAACCAATAGGAATTACGACATATTTTTGAGCCACTCTATTTTGAAAACTATCAATTTTTGACATAGGGTATGTTAGACAAAAGTTATTTAGAATTGTTCAGAGAGTCCAAAAAACAGATAATATACAGGGTGTCCCATTTAAAATAACAAAGTCAATGCCATTTCCGGTGAAACCGGAAAAGCCATTCAGTTGTTTTTATGTTAAAATTGTTCAAAATTTTCAACCCTATCGACATACGGAATTGCATATTTCTATCTCGAGCCGTTTTGAAATGCCGTCGTGGGTAGTAGTTTCATTGTCACCCGGTATATAATCTAAGGTTCAGCCAGTGGTTATATTTTTCAAGATCCGAGTTAGGGATTATTTCCAACTTATCTCTGTTATCTTCAGCCCAATACATATTTCAAAGTTTTAAAAAATCTAAATCATAAGGTACAGGGTGATCTATTATAAATGTCACCCCATTCTAACTTTTTTATTTGACATTTTTGACAAAAATGTCAGATACAAAAGTTTCAAGAAATTGTCGAAAGTTTTTAACTAAATCAATTTCAGGCATACAGGGTGTGTCAAAAAAGTGCAACAGTGTGAAGTTATATTTTTTTAAATAGAATTCCTTGTATATTGTCCGCTTATTTGTTAGTTACTTTTAACATGATTTCAATGATATACGGTTTGATATATATATCTTCAATAGTTATAGGGAAAAACATGAAAACCTCTTTCAAGGTTTCATATTAAAAAAAAACAAGATTTATACCATTTAAGCTTTAGAGAATTTTTTCATGCACAGTTTATTGTTCAAATTTTATTCATTAATATACAAGGTGAAATATGATAGATCCAGATGTCTAAAGTTACCATTATTATTTTTTAAAAAATAGCATGAGAGACCTAGGAAGGGATTTTCGCGTTTTTCCCTATAACTATTGAAGATAAACCGAGAGATAAACATATCAAACCGTATATCGTTGAAATCAGGTTAAACGGGACTAACAAATAAGCGCACAATATACAGGGTGTTCTATTTAAAAAAATGTAACTTCACACTGCTGCACTTTTTTGACGCACCCTGTATGCCTAAAACTGACATATGGCATTTCCGATTGGTAGATTCAGTGCGCACTGAGTGTATTTGCATTCTTTCAATCGACCTGTAGAAGAAAAAGAGAGAAATAGAAAAAATTGCACTAGTTCCGCACTAAATCTACCAATCGGAAACGCCATTAGTTAAAAACTTTTGACAATTTCTTAAAACTCTTGTATTTGACACTTCTGTCAAAAACGTCAAATGAGAAAGTTAGCAGGGGGTGACATTTATAATAGATTACCCTGTATGTACAGGGTGAGTCACCATATTTTGACACCCACCTGCAACTGTTATTACAGGTGATAGGTAAAAGGTGTAAATACATAAGTTGTAGCATTTTATCTGAACCGCCAGAATTTTCGATTAAATTGAACAAATGAGCAACGCAAAGTAAAAAACATGTCGATGTTCACTTTTTTCAAATGATTTACCTGTCACCTGTTACAAAACATTCTGATACGTGAATAGGTCTTTGAATAACTACTGAACTCCAGATATTTTCAAAACTATTGAAGTATTGAACGAAACATTAACATATTATATACTCCTGGACAAAATTATCGCACCACTGCACGTAAGCATCACCATAAGCAGTGGTGCGATAATTTTGTCCAGGAGTATATAATCTGATTCAGAAAAACAAGAACTTAAAGAAGTGCATTCCATTTGAAAAAAGTGAACATTGACATATTGTTTAACTTTGTGTTGCTCATTTGTTCAATCTAATTAAAAATTCTGCCGGTTCAGTTAAAATGCTACAACTTTTGTATTTACACCTTTTAACTATCACCTGTAATTACGGCTGCAGGTGGGTGTCAAAATAT